TTTTGAAGCTTCATAGACTTTCTCAAATTCTTGCTATACCTGTTAAAGCAAATCAACATTTCGTATCGCAAAAATATTAATTAGGCCATCTTCTTAATCCATCATTTAACTTCAAATTTACTTTAATTCATTTAAAATATTTTATTATCGTTTATAGCCTCAATACATTCGAAAAAAGGCAAAATCATAAAATAGAAATTTAATTTTAATTCCAGAAATAAAAAAAAAAGTAAGATAGAAAAGTCTATTATATGTTCCTGGACAAAAAATATGTGCTGATTAACAACATTATTCTAGAATTATTGAATCTTTAATATCCATTATTTATATTTAACACGAGAATTATGACATTTTAGGATTTTGCTTAAATTTGTGCAGCAAAGATTCAAGATCTTAGTTTTGACTACAATGTTCAGCTGACCAAATGAAACACGCTACCCATTAATTGTAAGAAAGATCTAAAAGAATATGGTTAAATTGTAATTTTTATGAATAAATTCTTAAAAAAATCTGCTAAATAAAAACCTAATTAAATATATCATTGCTTAAGTCAAAATAAATATGAAATTTATTATACTCTTTAAGTTGTGAAAAAGAAATGACAGAAAAAATAACTCACATTATTTACTTCTAAAGAGATGGTTTAAAGTTTTAATTTATAGATAATTATAATATCATGGAAATAAAATAAAAATGCCCTCTTTTCACTCTTCCCAACAACTAAAAAATGATTTATATAATATTTACTTAATCAGTATCTGCAACTTATTCTATTTTAACAAAATAAATTCATTTTAAAGTTTTTAATTGTATAGCCATTATAATAATATTCGTTAAATTCGTAAATTCTATTCATCAAAGAAACCAATCTGTATCATAAAAAAATATCAAAAGTCAAAATCTAACAATTATAAGAATAAATTGATCTTCTTACTTTATAGATCTATAGTTGCCAGAGCTTGAAAGATCTAAATTTACTTTAAGGAGGTTTAGCCTCTACTATGGTTCCTTCCTTCTCAAGTATTCTCATGGATTCTATAATTTTACTAAAAAAATTAGAATGCAAATTAAAAATTCTCAATAAAATTCAAATCTGCATGAAATTCATGATTAGGACATATAAATAAAAATATTTTGACATAAAATCCACACATATGAACAATTTTTAATACTTTTTTATTTATGAGTACTTCTAAGCTGACCTCTAATTTTTTAGTAGTTTGTAAACATCCTTCTAAATTGTAGAGTGTATCTTGCACTTAGAAATTAAAAAATCTTTAAATTCTAATTCAATTTCTCTCATAACTTCTTATTTTTTAAGAATAAAGAAAGGTTACATTAATATTCAATTTGATCAGTCACCAAATCTATCAATTAACAATAATATAAACATACTTAAAATTATAAAGCAAATAATCAAAAAAACGATAATGACAACTCGTAGGAGATGAGATTGTGACATTATTAACTAAATATCTGATATTCACATTTAGTTACAAGCCCTTTAATTGATAGAATAATAAATATTTCAAAAAGTATCCCCTAATAATTAAAAGTCTTCAGTGATTTTGTTAATTTAATATTTCATTTAGATTGGCTATCAACTTTCTTTTGGGAACAAATTAAATTAAGTAAATAGCTATTTGAGTCTCCTATTAAAATATTTTCAGTCGAAAATACATATGAAAGCATCTTTAAGAAGATTTCTTCTGACTTTTTCAAAAATCTAAATTAAAAATAGATCTTAATTTTAAAAATATATTTAGTGTTACACAAACCACTATTAATTCAATTTAGAAATATCAGCAAAAAATTACTAAGCACTAAATTATATTTTTAGAATTAATGTACATCTGCTTTTTATTTTAATTTTTATTTACATCACAGAATCAATCAATTTAAATTTTTTCATATGATCTCTATTGCTCAGTTGATTATTCTTTTTCATCAAGTTACAGCCAACTGAAGACTCATTAATCGAAATTTTTTAGAGACCTAAATGAAATTTAGAAAAAGATGTTCTAGAATTAATAAAATTATGTAAAGTTGGACTATGGTAGAGGATATTTATACAAATACTTTTATTATAAGAGTTTTCAAACTCAAGTAATATTTGATGTCTTTTATATTAATGCTGATGATGATATTGATGATAATCCTTATTTAAATTTTAGTTTTGATGGTAATTTAGGTTCAGAAGTGGATTAAGTTATATATAGTAGATATTATAAACTAGATGATTAAATTTAGAATCAGTGGTTAGATTTGTCATAGTACTTTAAACAATTTTGAGTTATATACAATAGTAAGTACTTTTGCGAATTCTAACACAAACAAATTTACAATTAAAATTTGTTTTGGTCCTTAAAATAATGATATGGAGGTAGGGATTAAAAATTTATTGATTTATGTGAATACTTGTCACCCAACTTGTTTAACTTGTGATGGTCCTACAGAAACATAATTTTTATCCTGTTTTTATTATTAAAGTGTAAATGGAGGGAGATGTAAGTGCATTTCTGATTAATAATTCTCTGAAACATATAAATATAGGTTGTTTGCAAGAATGCGGTAGAGCTTATTCGATTGCACTGTATGATAAAATATGTGTCATTGATACAAGAATTAAATCAAAGTTTACTTTATTCGAAAATGAAAGCATTCCTTTATCTAATTTAAGATATTTTCCTTTGATTTTTAAAAAGATGAATGTTATCCAAAAAATACAGATTTAATTTATGAAAATTGTAATGGATATGATTTTATTGGAAAGTTATAGTTTAATGAAGGAATGATTTACTAATT